GCAATTCAAGACCTTGAGATATAATAATTAAAAAGATTTGTTAATTAAAAAGTATTTGTTATTACTTTAAACAACAATCGGCCTCATTCGCGAAAGACTTTTATTTGCAGACAACAAACACATGTTCAAAAACGAACACCTTTTAGTCATATTAACGTTATTTTTAGGAACTAGGAGAAAAAAAGTGAATAACAAAATTTTATAAAAAAGGAATTGTAAATATTCTGTCTCATGCATTTTACTAACCTGTACCTAATCTAGAATATAATAAAAACTTTTTGTTGCTGTTAATTCATTAAATTGTAAAAAAAAAATATAATATACCCAAAAATACCATTTGAATCGAATGAAGCCAGTGTTAGTATCATGAAATTACCAAATTGATTCAAGAAATAAAAGAGTAATGTCGTTCTCACACATTTGATTTTTTTTTGGATGGAAATTCATCATTCTGATATGACACATTAGAGTTGGGGGTTGTTGAACACTATGGAAGATTGTATCGCTTCGGCGATCGTGGGTGCGTTATTTTTTTTTTTAATCACGTAATTGCAAACCGCCTCCTACCCCCGAAATTTCCGCTCCACAGGAAGAGATAGAACCATATCGAGGGGGTGGTAATTAAGGACTTTTAAGTATTTCGGATGTACGACCCAACCCCATTCAACCACTCGAGCGACAGCCGAAATTAAATATCTACGATTATTATTAAATTTCATATCGCACCCCTTGTAAAACATAAAACAACCCTTGTTTAGCTTTTAATTTGATCGCACATGATATGATTTTTTTTAATGAATCATTTTATAGCCAGGGTTATTTTTATATACATTATTTAGATGTATTGTTAATAATAATCATTGCTACTTTAATAATCTAAACCAGTGGTTTCCAAAGATTAATTACGAAGTCAATTTCAAAAATTTGTTCATATGTTATGAGATGGCTTCTAAGCTTTTTCACATTTGAAGAGCAGGGGTAACTTCCAGGATTATTATGGTTACATCAATGATTAGCATAAATTCCAATATCTTTTTTGCACCTCACCTTGAACTGTTTCTCTTAAAAAAAATATGCAAATTTAAAAAATCAACTTTTGTATACTATATATTTTCTTAATTTTCTATCCAGTAAAATGCGAATCTTATACATGAATTCAACTATACGATGCTAAAAATGATTATAATTTACAAAGTAAAATTCTCGATAGGAGATTCCTCTTTTCATATTTAACTCTGTCCTTTCGTTAATATATACGTATATGTATATTGTACAGCACGGTTTCGAAATAAAATGTTTTTGTCAGTACAATTGGCATAAAAAGAGCCAGGCTTCAACAAGGAACAGAAGTGGAATACACAATAAGCAGAGCTTGTTAAAAATTTCCAGCTGCACGTTCAGTTTTCCATCATTATTGTTGTTGCCTGCCTTTTGCAAAAAAAAAATAGTGAATGCATATGCCTGGCTCTACGTGTGTTCTATTATGTCATCGCATCTTGTTCCGCTTTTACAAAACTTTTATTATGTACGATCAAAATTATTAATAGAAAAATGATAATAATATTTATTTCTACAACTGATCAATTATAAAACGAAAAAATAATAATAACATTTCTTTAGTTTTCCATCAAATTATAATGTATTATTGTCAAATTAAAATATATAAAATTTTGCTTATATTTTGATAAGTTAATAAAACATAAAATGTATTAAAAAAATTAAAATCTTTTGTATTTTCTCTATTTTGAGTTATTGTCTGTTACTCGTGCGGCATTTCGTAACATTGTTACACGCGTGGCGTCTGAGAAGCATCATTAAATATTACGTTAGTAATTAATTAATAAAAATATACAAAAAAACATCTCTGCATCGTTTGTTTCTGATTGTTTGTCTTTGTCTGATTCCATTCCTTATTTTTGTTGAGTCTCTACGTCCAGTTAATTTTTATATTATTTTAAAAAAATGGTAAAGTAAATTATTATCAAAACCACTACTCGCTTTTATAAATATATAGTCAGTATGAAAAAGGTACAAAGGTCGGGGTTGCAAAAGTTATGGTTGCTTTGTACCCATTGGCGACTCACATACGGAATAACGGAAGGTTAATAATAGGAATTATGTTTTTTTTTGTTTACTTTTAGTTTTGTTACGTTATTTTTTCTTGTAAGCACAAGTCACAGATGCATTTGATTTTTCTTGTTTCAAATAGCTTTAAATTATTGCAAATTAAACGTAGATTGTTGGTAAGGTAAATTTACTGTAAAATATGTACAAACATAATACATTTCCTGGTAGTATATAAGTAATAAATAATCGTGTGGATTCAAGTAATGTAAACGCAATATTCGCATAGATTTTTATTTAATTATAGGTTGGCATGAAAGAGTCTCTCGGCTCTGCTTCGCAGCACAAGCAATAATTCTCAAGCACTGACAAAGTAATTGGCGTCCGTCCCCCCTCGTTGTCGGGGTTCCAAACCCCCCATCGTAATTCCCCCCTCGTATCTCAAGCCGACCCCCTAACCCCCCCATCACGAAAAATAATAATTATAATATTGTGATTTATGCGCGTTTCATTCGCTCGTTCTTAACTCTGCTAGAAGCAGAACCTACTACTAAAGGAAAACAATATTTGCATGCTAGATTGTATTGCGGATCGGATAAAACGGAATTTACGAGCGCCGTGGTAAATATGAATTGTGTCGAAACTCTTTCACCCCCGCCGGCCTATATGATGCATTGTCGGGAAATTTGTTGTGGGCCGAATTAATAATAGGGGTTGGAAGATTCCAAGGCGCGAAGATAAATCCCCACGGCTGTAAAGATAAAAGCTCGCAACTTTTCATGCGCAACTTGACGCACGTATAAACGTAATAACCGTCGTCTTAATAAACATGTTTATAAAAGCTTCTCCTTTTTTCTCTTTCTTCTCTCCGTTTTACTTTCTCCCCCAGGCTTCTTGTTTCTACAGTTTTCAGCGTCTGCGGGAATCCGAGAGATTAGGTCGGACCGAACTTAATTTTAAAGAAACTACAGTTATTTAAAATATCTTTGCTTTTTCTACAACTTCATATTAATTTCTTGAAACTTCTCTAGTGTTGCTTTAAAGAAAAGCAAGATTGGATCAACACAGGATTGAGTTCCTCATAATTAAACATAAATATTTTATATTTAAGATATGTAATGTGATGTAAGAGGACTAGATTTGAAATGTCATGTGTCCCATTTCGCAACATTTCCTATTTTTTGTTTCATTTTTGCGGATGGATCGTTCCTATGAAAATTGACCTGTCGTGATTTATGTGAAAAGGCTCGCATAAATATCACCGACACCCTCGTATCCGTTCCGAACAAACGGCGCCAAAAACTTCGCACTTTCATATTTATTCATACATATATATATTCTGACCTTTTGTGCCAATGACCTGCACACGCACAAACCAGAAAAGAAAACTTGCAAGTTTCATCGTTTTTCTCTCTCTTCTAAGCAGTTCCTTATAGAAATCCCCAAAATGTTAACGCTTACCATGCAAACTGCCCCCAAGGTTCAAAGATTTTCCAGAAAATATTTCCCTCTGCACATCAAAAGCACATAACTTTTTCTCTCGATCTTTCATACTTTATTTCCAACTTAGATAAATGTCATTTTTTTATATTATTTTTACTCAAGTTGATTCTCATTATAATTTAATTAAAGCCATGCGCACATGTTCATAACAAAGCTATTATGAAATGCATTCGTTAACTGTTCACGGTTTGGTGGATGCGCCGGGAAACGTACGAAACTTTCCTCCTAAAATAGGTCATCGTTAATACAGTCTATCTTGCACAATTAGCGAATGCTCTGAGCTTCACGTGAATAATAAGTCTTTGTGCAGGATCCACGGCGTGCGCAAAAGTGCAAATGCTGCTAAAGAAATAAAATTTCTCCACTAAAGTAAGTAAAGACGAATAATAAAAAAAAAGATTAATAAGAGGAAGTTGAAAAATACTATACGAAAATAATAAAGCTCGCGTCGGCGAAGTCGGCCATTAGTATGTATGATGATAAAAAGGAGAGATTAATTATTTTCTTTTGCTTCTTTCATCTTTCTGATTAAGAAAAAACACGCTTCTTTTGCCGTGTTCTGTTGTGTTGAGTCAATTAAGGGCTTTCAGGTACTGAAATTTTCGCGCGAGCATTAAACTTTTGAAAAGCGCGAAATTAACGTTCCGGTATTAACTCGTCCATAAAAGTTATCCTGGCCCCCCAGTTATTGCCTCATTACGTGATCGTTTCGAGCGGTCGACCCGAGGTATTGTAGCATAATTGAAACATATTTTGGCTGTACATATTTTATCGTTTTACTTCCACATCAAATTTAATCGCTTCAAAAATATAATATATAAATATTTTCATTGAAGAAAATATTTACCTTAAATACAAACATAGTTTATTTGTAGTTGATCATTTAATAATAAATTAAAATTAATCATTAAAATAATAAAAATAAATATTACTATTAATATTTGTGAATAAAAGCTATTTTAGTAACCTGATTAAAACATGTATATAGAACAAGATTAGGAAGTAAGTTTTTGATTTGCTCTCTCATATATAACAATATACAGTTTTATACTAAGACAACTATTGGACTATTTCTATATTTAATATTTATTAAGTAGTATGAAATATGTGTTATTGGAAATGTGCATTCTCCATAGTTCGTAAATAAAATTACCTGCAATACATGGAATAGTCCGGGTTCCACCACAATCCATGGTGTGACTGGCGAGGGCTTTGGTTACGTAGATGAGGGTGGAGAAGGGGTTTTGTAGCCGGTTTACGGTCGAGTATTATTATCCGGGCTAAATAATTAAATTGTTGGGATAGACGTGTATAATAACATTGGATCAATTGCAATTAACATGTTTGGGTATATGGTTTGATTGAAATTGGCCCTCGATGTATGTAGGTATCTATAACAATTTGTGTACATGGGCTTTTAATTAATTTTGCAGGCAGAATGCGGATGTTCGGATCGACGGTCGTTATCCTCGTCCTGGCGATGGTCCTTGTAGCTGAATGCGCTACAAGAAGCAAGGACAAGGACAGGAAGCAGAAAGAGCGCAGCAAAAGCGTGTCCATTGGAAAGAGCCTGTGCAACAACGAGGAGCCAGATGAGCCGATTCATTGCTTCTGCGATGGCCACGACATTCCTGGAAACGTCACCTCAGCCGAATGCTGGATTTTCAGTAATAAACTAACTAAGGACTATTTGGGCTGGAATTATTTCAATAGTCAACCTCATATCGAGAAGATGAAGATATTGGTCCGTCCCAATGGTAATTTGAGTTTCGTGCCGACGCGCGCTCTGCGACACCTGAACGAACTCAGGAACTTCCAAATCACTTATGCAAGCATTGACGAAATACATCCTTACGCTTTTGCTAATCTCTCTCAACTTGGTAAACTCGAGTTGACCAGGAACAAAATAGTCACTTTGAACCATCATGCCTTTGCTCATCTCCACAATCTCAGCGACATCAATTTGGATGAGAACAGGATCTCAGAACTGCAGCGAGACGTTTTCGTCGATCTACCCATTTTGCAAACGCTCTTTGTAACGAAAAACAACTTGAGTGTCATTCAGGAAGGAGCGTTTAAGCACTTAGCTAAACTCTTGGAACTCGAACTCGCCAACAACTACATTAGCGTCCTCACCAAGGACACATTCACTGGACTAGGAGAACTCAAGAGGTTGGACTTAAGCTACAACAAGATCAGCATGTTAGGAGATCTGACTTTCGCCGAATTATGGGTCCTAGAGGTGAGTCTCTCAAGTTCATAATTGAATTCAATTAATATTCATCCCTTAATTGAAATAGATATAGAATTAAATCGATAGTACATTTCAGTTATATTTGGATTTGAAATTTGTTCGCACAAGTGTCCGTCCATCATATATGAAAATAGAATTTAACAGTATGTAAATTCACATTTCAGCAGCATACACTGCTCGATAATAGAAAACAAGATCTACAATACATACAATCTCTTGGTGTGCGCCGGATGTGTGAGTTTGCCAACGTTAAGTACTTCGGAGCGTGCGATTTTATTATGCAAAATAGCGTGTAAGCGGTGCGTAAAAGTGCTGTTGTTTCAGGCTCTATGAATACATGCATGGTGAAATGAAAGAAACCGGGTTGAGGGTAGAAAAATGCTCAAATATTGCAGTCAGCTTATCTTGCAACCTCTTCCCCGGGGAATGCATTATACTGAAAGAAACAAAATTGTCTGGTTGTTAGTATTAAGATGTTTATAGTTTTGGTAAATTGAGCATAAGCTGTAACATCAAAAATTTACAAGAAATTAACGTTTCTTCAATTATTATTTGTCAGCAACTTCAAAAAAATAGTTTAGTTCAATTTATACTTTTGTAACTTCTGTTATTAAACTGAATAAATTATTATTAGACATTCTTCATGATTTTAATAGTTAGGTTAGATTTGGTTAGGTTATGTTATGTTATGTTAGATTATATCGTGTGAACATTTTTAGTATGAGATGGTTATAACCTATAATTAGGTCTATATACAAGACATAATGCTAGATCTATAATGATTAATTGTATTTGAACAGAACAGCAAACTAATTATATGTTCGACCTATGCAAACTTAAGCAATTGGAATTACGATCAAATGTAGTTAATATATGTATATGTATATTGCTTAATTCTCTCAAGAATTGCATGGTTTTTAATAAAACAGCAAAAAGGAGAGCGTTCAGTCGTAAATAATGATCAAGTTAAAATGTCTGGCACACAATAAATTCCCGTTGGCAATTTAATAACGACAGCAAACTTCTATTATCGACTCCCTCTCTTCCCGCGAAACACTATATTTTTATATTTACGAGACGCACCATCCCCCATTTCCGCACTGCTGTACGCGTCGGCACATACACAAAGCTTGCAACCCTAATCTCTATAAACTGACCCGAATTTGTTCATATAAACCAGACAAAACTCAATTTTCCTCGGCACCAAGAACTGGGGCATCCGCGGTGCAAGGATGGACAGAGATAGGACGAGAGAGAGAGACAGAATGGGATGCTTTTCATTACAAAATAAATTGCTTTAATTAAAGCGATACACTTTTGCCGATTTTTTCGACCCCGATACCCTGAAATGAGTTACAACCCCGAATCGAATACGGCAGGATGCACAGCTCACTCATCTGCAGCTCACCTACAGAAATGGCGCATGGATTTACGTAACGCAACAACAATGGGGCATTTCCGGAGCACGTAACATATTTTCGTTTGTTTCCATTCTATTTCTCTCTTTGTGCTCATCTCTCTCTCTTTCCTGCATCGTTATTAACGTTGGCAATTGTGTAAATTCAAAATATGCAAATCAGTGGAGGCATTATATCCATTGTGCTGCTTTATCTCGGGTGCGTACACATGCAAAGCATCTTGACAGATTGGGTACAATTAGAGGTCGAGTCTATACTTATAATACACTCAGAACAACAACAGAGATTGTATACATCGCGCGCACATATACCACCTACCTAGGTATAAGCATAGCCTACTCGAAATGCTCTTCCAATCTCAACATATCTTTCTCTCTCTCTCTCTATAACATCATCTCTATCTTCTTCCCTCTACTCCTTCATGTAGATTCGCGCGTGAGAGTTAATTTTCCTATACCACAAAGAGCAACTTGATACAGGCCATAAACCATCGAAGTTTCACAAACGCATCATCTTACGCGGTTGATTACACGCGGAACCCGTACAATACATACCTACATCCGTACATCTATACTCACACAGACACATTTACATACTGTAGGTATATATGCACAGACCGACACATACCACCGTGAACAAGCCGACTTTGCGTTTCCTCCAGAACCGCCACCGCCGCAACAACGCAATTACATAATCGCATCCGTGAATTATGCACGGAATAATTGTTCAAGTGGCTCATTTTCTGCAGAACAATACATATTATGCACAGTTGTAATTTAGTAACTTACTTTTTGTTGCAACCTGCATAGTCATTTCAAACAGAATTGTAGCATACAAGATAGTATTATATCTCTAGAATAATTTTATAAAGAAATTATTATATTATAAGAAGTCAAATTAATAATATTCATATGACTAGTATTTAGTCTATTATGAAGTATGAAAAGTAATTTTATTTATTTTAGAGGTGGAAGTGTTATATCCGACTCGTCGTTTTATGAAAGTCAGGGAACTGTAAAATTCTAATTTTCATATATATGTAATTTTTTAAATTGAAAAATGTTTTAACTTTCTTGATCGTTTATTTCTTTTATCATGATTTTTATCAATGATTCTGAAAAATATTTAAATATACTCATAATTGATGTTAGAAATTATGAAAGTTTTAATTTAAAATTGATGTATTTTGTCGTACTTAGGAACTTCAACTCGAATCAAACCAGATTGAGCTGATCGCCGATCGGGCTTTTGCCGGATTAACCCACCTCAAGAAACTCGCCTTAAGCAACAACCAACTGACCATCCTATCACCAACTCTTCTCGGAGGTGTACCCGGTATCAACTATTTGGATCTTCGTTCCAACAACCTGCAGACCTTGACCCTGGACAACGTCAGACCGATCATCCTTAACCTGCACAACGACACCAGCCAGTTCTACTTGGAACGTGAGTACTAAACACATTACGATTTTATTTCCTCCCTGTCGTGTTTCGACCTCCAGCTATTCGGTATTTTGTTCTTTACGAGGCGGCGTAAGCTAATGGTGAATTACGACAAGGGCCGCCCGACATTATTGTCGCTTAATACTTGGTCTTTCCCGCTTCGCTTCGGAAACAAAAGGCGAAACAATAAAGGAAACACGGAACGGAACGAAACCGATAGAGATCTCGAGGATTACAGATGCAATAATGTCACGAAATTTGTTTTATTGTGTTAATTCCGCACGGCGACCTCCGAAAAAGTCCCAAAACTTATTTATTCAGTACGATCGAAATAGAGTGTGCAAACATATGAACTAGGTCAAATACTTGGAAGGAATAATGTTTTTTTTTTTGTAAATCACAATTAGATTTCCCAATGGTCAAAAGAACAAAAATAATAATTATCAATATTAATTTAATTTTAAACATTCCATTAATATTTCTGTTCAAGATGAATCATCTTTGTTATTCAAATAATACAACATTATGTAACAATTTAGACTAATTAATTACTATTTGCTGTGTCCAATAGCTTTAAGGATACATCAAATAAAAACTCAAAACTAGATCAATTCTTTTTTTCCAAGAATGAAAAAATTGTCAAAGAAATAGTAAAATATATTTATTTAATATAATAATTAATTAAAATACGCAAAATATATATTGATTTGTATTCAGTTTTATATTGTTTATATATCTGTTGGGATAAAAAAAAAACAAAAACAGGAAACAATTGACTAATTCATATCCTCGGTAGTGACTCCAAATTATGTAAGTGGTTGTGAACATGCAATTTCCTTTCCGTTTCCGTTCCTTTAAATAACAATAAGCGGAGGAGGAGGAAGGTAGCAGACGTTACGAAACCTTTCCTCGGTGAGGAAGGAGACCGGAAAAAAAAATAATACAACAACAACCAACGCGAAGGAAATAAAACAAAAATGGCAAACGGAAGACGCTGAAATATTCAGAAAGCCAAAGACGAAGAAATGAAGGTGAATAAACGAAATAAAACAGAATGAAACAAACAGTGTTACCGTGAGGCTGCGAAAACGAGAAATTACGTAAGCCGGTGTTTAATTTCTGAATCATTTATTAAACGCCGGGCGAAGGAAATTGGGCAGAAGACAACAGCGACAGTTTGGAGTGAGAGTGGGTGACAATTGCTTGTCTCTTATGTTGTTTTTCTTTGTACTTCCCTTTCAAAAAGAAATTTTTAATTTCTATCTTTTTTATTAATATGTTTTAATTATACACTGTTGTAATATTAACGAGAAAAACGAGTTACTTACTTTTAACAAAATATTCATTAAATATGCTTTTTCTTAAAATAAATAAACAATATTGTAATAAGAACAAATTGCTCATGTATTCTTGAATATTAGTAATTACATATTGTGAGACTAAGATTAATGTATTAGTTAGGATTATGTTGATCCACATGATTAGCTAAGATAGTGTCTAGATTACATGACTAAGACTATGAGAGATTGTATAAATTTTAGTAGCTCTTCTTGGGTACCACCTATTTATATAAATTAAATTTGAGAATCTTATTTACATTAATTATTAGCAGATTTCCTATTCTAAAGTATATAAAAGCTAGTTAATTAATTAATAATTTTGATTACAGCCATTCATATTTTTTTTGAAATAAGAAAAAAAAATAGAGAGAAAAGAAATAAAACGAATTGAAACTGTAGAATTAAAAAAAATATATTGCAAATTAATTTTAAGTTCTAGGCAAAATATTTGGTTATGTAAAATTCAATTATTTAATAAATTTAAATGTATATATTTTTCTTTTTGTTTTAAAACAATTTGTGAGTTAAAAATGTTTCATGACTTTTATTAAAATTTCTTACAACTGCTGTTTTTTGCATCATTAATTACGTAAACGCGAGAAAATAATGGTAACAAAACAAAGCAGCTTTTAGTTTCTAGTGTTATTTTTTCTCTTGTTCTGCGCCGCTTTCCTTTAATTATGAACAGTAATGAGTCTTTTCTGGATGTAGGTCGACTTTAATTTGAATTTTATAAAATGATAAATTTATAAATTTAAACACCATCTTTCCTTCTCTTTCTCTGTATCTCTCATTATGTAATAGCTTGAGAGAGAAAGAGATGGTCCAGGATAGAATAGTTCCGTGCGGAAATTCCGGTCTCACGGAATTACGCTTGGCAATAAACATTAGCTGTTCATTACCTAACAAAACTCAGATACACAGAACAAGGATAGAGCATACATTTGCAAAGTAGACTAGATGGGTGTATGTATAAGAGTGAGAGAGAGAGAGAAAGAGAGATGCGGAAACGGGAAACACAACAGAACGAGTTGTGCAGCAGCAGTAGCGCACCTGGAGTTCGATTGCGAGTTTTCCCACATCGTTCTTAAATTAGGGGAAAATTCCAGTTTCCAAATTGGACGAGATAAATTGGAATCACTTTCGGGTAGCTAGGCAAATTTGCATACAATCGAGTTGCGCAATTAATTAAGACCTCTTTTCTCTCGCGTTTTTAAACTTTAATCTTTCTCCACGGCTTTTTTCCATCCTAAAATAAAGTGGGCAATACTTAAGGTTAACCCCAGAAGAGCCTCTAATCATACGGTCCATTTGTTACTGGATTTCTTAATTCTACCATTATTTTTTTCTCTTTTATCCTGTCTGTTTCTTTTATAAGAGGTACAATGTTTCCTAATCACTATTATTCTGTAATATGTAACAATTTCAAAGATATTTTCAATAGTGCATAACAGAGGATCGGCAATATGCGGCTCCGGAGCCGCATGTTGCTTTTTTGTGAGAAAGTGCGACTCCTAGCATTGCGGTAAATAAACTAAAAATACTTGAAATTCTGATCCCTCGTCATCAATTGTGGAAAAATATGTAACATAATTATACTATTAATGTACCTTGTTTAGCAAATACTTGTGCACGATTAAAGAATGAAGTTTATATGTATAATAACTGTAAAATGAACAGTTAAATTAATATCAAAGAGGAAATATAATTTATTAACTAAAGAGGCCAAATAACGTGATTATGGAAGGCGATGGTAGAGATCGTGTGCACGGTTTTAATTACTTTCAAAATAGAACCTCTAATTAAATGGAATCAACAAAGAATTAAATTCTATAGCAACCGTCCAAGACCCCTTCGCAAATAGGGTGTGTGGGATAAGGGTGGAAAAGGGATGTATAGAGGAGGGGGTGCAGACCACACAGAAAATAGGTGTGTGCGAAACAAATATAAAATGTAATTATTTGTCGCTCCATAATTTAGAATTAAATTTATACGTATATGGAACGTAAATTCGAGGACACCCTTTTAATTGGATCAGGGCTGGAGAGTTGCCCTACGCGCAAATAAAACGTAATTAATGTGACAAAAACTATGGAACTGAAGAAAATAAACAGAGAGAGAAAAATGTTAATAAATGGAATTGAACGTAAATACCTAAAATGCGGGGAATACAAGTATTAAAAGGGAAGTAATGCTTTGAACGATCTCGAGTAGGGATTAAATTTTGCAACTAAATACGATTAATTAAAAACTGAAATATACAAGATTTAATTTATTTTAAATTTAATTTCTCGTAGACGCCTGCAGCTTATTAATATGTAAACATATTTCAGCACCTAGAATTGACGGATTTCCACTTGAAACTTTGAGCAAACTTCTTGCCGGAATTAAACATTTAATACCATTACCGGATTATTCACCTAGTAGTAGTGTGTAGTTTATTCAGAGCTGCTTTCCATCCCTCAGAACCCTTTGCATCTTGCGCTTATCTCTCAATCCCAACGTAAATTTTACGAACATAAAACACTTCCGCTTGCTCGACTTCAATAATCCATTTAAAAACTGCGTTATGAACAATTGAATTAATAATGGGCGAAGGTTGCAATTAGTTCGGAGTTTTGCTGTTTTCTCATTAAGGACGTTAATATTTGAAAACCAGGAATGATGTAATCATTGTCGGTGATAGCCGCAAAGATTTTCGGCTTTGAAAGCCGAAACGATTAGATTAATTTGGAGACTGGTTGTACCCTTTCGGACGACCCTTCGCGCGTCCTAACCACATCGGATCACTGCCCGAAATCGCTCTTCCGCGAAACGGAGAGAAAATTAACTCATCTCTTTTGTATAATTGATAGCGTTACATGGTTATTCTTTGATTAATTGGATCACCTGCCCTCGAATTTCGGTTACTAAGGGACTGGACTACACGCCTCTTAATTAGAAATTTCTCTGCGAAAAAATACGCTTGGATGAGCAGTTTCACCACGCAGATAAATTTAGAACTAATCAATTATACCTTCATCCTACCACATATTCTGTTTATCATAAAATTTAATATTACATTTTTACTAACTAGTATATTCAACATCATTATGTCATATAATAAATGGTTTTAAATTATGTATTAACTTGTATTGTTTCAAATATGTGTATGATACCAATTAAGAATGATAAGAGACAGAATGTAAAAAATACGTATACTTTACATTACTTATTTATCAATATGAATAAATTCGTATTGTTGCAATTATTATATGAAACTAAATTTACGATTTAGTTGGTTGTATTGTTCTTTCTTCGCTTCGTCTTCACACGTTTTTTTCTTTCTTCAGTTCTTTAAATTATTATATAGTTAAATGCAATGCTGGGAGCTCGGAATTTTTTTAGGATATGGGAAGCCAGTTCCTGGAATTTAAATCCGCGAATTTGGCGTCCGTTCTCTCTTTATGTACACGTAAAACTTTGAGAAATCTGGTCCGAAATATGTGCTGGCGTTTTGAGGAGGATGTACATCAGCCGTTTGTAAGTAAGTGAGAGCGAGATAAACCTGGAGATATAAAGATATGGAGACACCTCGGTTTCCTGCTAGGATCTTCTGTTTATTCAAATGGAGCGCACTTTGCATAAAGCGCATATTTATGTTCGCCGCGGATAAAAACAAAG